TCGAAGGGTTAATGACCTTTCCCAAATCTTCGCTCGCGAAGACTGGCCATTATTATTATTCTAGGGCACTAGTCAGATTAAATTCTGGTTGTGCTTTGACCCTTCTGTTTTTATCCCTGCATAACCTTACATCACCCTTGTAGTTCTTCCAGATTTCCTGCTTCTTCTTTCAAAGGTCATAAAATCTCCTTTTTTCCCTGAGTTCCAGCCCAATCTCTCCATTCAGCCAGGTCTTCCTTGCCACCTAACCTTTTGGCACATGGGGATGGCCTGCTCCTTCAACCTCTTGAAGAATGTCCAGCCTTCCTGGACTTCTTTGCTCTTCACTAGTGCCTCCCAAGGGACTCTGTCAAACAGTCTCCTCCACAGGCCAAAGTCAGCTCTCTCTCATCCAAGTAGGCAGTTCTGCTCTACCTCCTTACTTGTCCAAGAACCGAAAAATCTCTCATTTCATGATCACTGCCCAAGACGGACTCTCTAATTATGGGAAAGGCTTTGACACAGGCTGGCAACTTGCATACCCAGGACCTTCAAAAGGATTTGTATTGTTGCCAGAAACATGTAAAATGCTAACTTTCACGTAAGAAAGTTGTTCAGCATACTGAGGAACTCAAGAGACAAAGTTCTAACAAGTCAAAACACATAAAACACATAACGAAGGGCTCACTAAGTATCTATCCTGAAAGATGCATTGGGAAAACAAATTGACAAATCCCCACCAAACAATAAAATCAGGTGTCCTAGTTACTGGGGCTGGGTCCAGTTTATCACTATGTGGGTATAACTAAAACTGTGTATTCTACACCCTCTATGTCATTTCTGATGGACTATTACTAATGGATTGCTTGCAGCAGCTGCCCAGGGCACACCTGACACCTTATGCTACAAGCCGAGGCAGGGGAGTGTTTCTTTGTCTTCACACCAATGACTCAGCTGTGATAACCCCCCACCAGGGAGGCATTAGCACCTTCACACCCAGCCTGAGGGGTCATCTCTGTTAATGGATCATACTGGACTGGCATAATAGGCAGCTGCAAGACCTAGACCATCAAAGATTCCAAAAATATCCCATGACTCACAGAGTTAAATCATCCATTGTGGAACTCCCCGCCCTGGGCAAGGTACTGGACATTCCCACCTGAACCTGAGCATATATAATCTTGGGGTTTTGGAACTTCTGGTACCGCTTGTCGGATCCAGAGGAGGACCAGAACTCAACAGGACTGCAACTGCCACTCTCGACAAGACTGTGATCATTACTTTGACAGAACTGCCACCATCATCTGCACCAACAAGTTTCCTTTCCTTTTGCTTTGCACCCCAGGGGGCCTCGTGGTGCTCAGCACAGGGGCCAACAAACACCATTCTGTTCTTGTCCCAGGGTGCAGGGTTATATATCTGTCTTCAGGGGTTAAAACCAGTTTTCTCTGTATCTTTGTATCTATTCTCTGCATTGTATTTATCATAATCCTTTTAGTAAATTGTAGCTCTGACCTGTAATATCTCTTGAGTTGGGTTCATTTCTCCCATTGGTTTACTTTTAAATCAGGACATCGGGCCACAGAAATACTTCTGCAACTTTGAGTAATTTTTATTTGTTTTGCAACCTCAGCTAAATGCACTTTGGTATCTATGCAAAGGATCAGTAACAAAAAAATGTTCATAACAGTTTTCACTTGTTCTTGAACTTCTGAGCTGGCAGTGGCATATGAAATGTGTGTTTTGTCTGACAATGCAGAAAGCAGTTATTAAGTGCTGAAACACGTTGCACATAAGGCTATTTTCAATACAGCTTTTAAATCTCTTTTTACACATTCATTATTTGTGAGATGAACCATTATTGGGGAAATGAACCAAAGTATATTTTTTCACTGAATGTAAAACAGAACAAATGCTTCACTCTTAGAAACATTTGACTTTTCAGATGTTCAGCAAATTTGTTCAGATTTCTTATGAAAATATTTCAAGAACTGAAGTAAACACTAAAATCATATTCTTCGTCTTCCTGCTGAACTCAAGACTAAATTTAAAGGTGTAGAAAGTTAACTGAATTGAAAAGCGTTTACTTTCAATAAAAGCACTGAAGTAGGACCTAATTTGAAAAATAAGTCCAAATTCATCATCATGGAAGACATTGCAAAATAATTGTTTGGTTAGCTGACAGGTAGGACTGGTGGTAATCAAAAACTTAAGTTACTCAGGTAGCTTTGAAAAATAGTATGATAGGACATCTGGTAAATGACTTTTTTTTTTTCTAAAGGTGGCAGAAATTGCCAGATATAAACACTGCAGGTGAAAACTGTTGGAGAGTATTTGTGTGAATAAAGTGTAGGTGACATCTATCTTAAGATGGCAGAATTTGTGATTCTGAGGAAAAGTATGTGCAGCATTGTAAGGACAATATATTTGAAAAAATACAAAGTCAGACCAATAAATTTAGGCAACCATTTTCTATCCTGTCTTGCTAAGAGTCTGAGAGAGACAGGGCTTTGAAGGGGCTGGCAATTAATAAAAGGTATTACAATGAAGGTGAAATGACAAACTATTTCTCATGAAGAAAGGCAGAAACCATACTAGGAGCTCAAAAGGTCTAGTTCAAAAGTTCTTTAAAAATTTGAAAGTCAGAATGAAGTTGTGCAAGTGAGTGGAATCAAAGGACAAATCCTAAGAGTGGCTATATAGGAATAATACAATAACTGCTTATGCTAAAATTAGAGGTTAAGATTAAAAAGGTTACCACTATCAGGGGACATAAAAACTCAACAAATATTCTGTAAATGTATTGGATGTAAAAAGAAGTCAAACCCAAAAATACATTATTTAATGAGGGAGACAGGCAAATGACACTGATTTTTTTTGTTGCAGACTTCATAAACAGTGATCAGATACTTAATGAAATGAATTTTAGTGAAAGAGTAGGACTGGAGGCATCTCAAAGATACACTTGACACCTAACTACTTCAGTAAGTAGCAAGTGGTAAGGACAGATAAAATTCTATAGGCACCTTGTGAACAAGCAGAAGTCCTCTCAACTATTTACAATGACCTTTTAGAAGTCATGGAGGTCCCAGAGGATTTCAGTGGGCCTATATTTTGAAAAGGGGGAAAAGTAAGTGAAATAAAGAAGAGTGAGCTACATTTCAAAACACAGAAAATAAGAGAAAAAAACCCCAAACCAGTGGATGATAAGGTGATGAAAAGCAGCCAGCTGGTCAACAAAGAAATCAAACCAAGCTTGTACCTCCTTGCTACATGGATCCTTCCCTTTCCCAATCTTTGGTCCTTCTCTAAACATTTTGTAGATAGTGCCACATGCTCCTACAGTCCCATTAAAAGTATCCCATAATAACCTTTAAACAATTCCAAAGTGCCCTTTCCCCTACATCCCATAGTGAGTACCCTGTAGGTAATACTTCACTCTGCAAGGAGCTCTGGGAGTTTTTCTTTGAGTTTTACACCAGGGACAATGGTTCTTTGATAGTCTTAGGAGCAAAGAAGTCTGTGCCTTCCAATGTTCACTAATTATCTTAATAGGGATCCTCTTCATGTTATTATTCATCTGAACCTTTACAGGCTTTTTAGATTAGCATGATTAATACCATAGTCTAAAAACAACACAGTCCAATGACCACAACCTGAGACTTGGGAGACTGAAACAGGACATTTGGGAAAGTTTGTTCACCAGGAGTAGTGGAGAATAGGAAAAGGTTTCCCAGATGGGTTGTGGAACCTCCATACTTGGAGGTTTTTAATACTGGCTATATATAGCATAACTGAACTGGTGTTGGTGATAATCCTGCTCAAAGTGAGGTTGCCTAGAGACCACCAAAACAACCAACACTTTACCAGCTGTCTGGACTTTGGAGACAATAAACCTTAAAAGTATCTAACATTTCAGGTTTGATCCAGATTTGGCATATTGCAAAATATGAGTCATATTTTAAACACTATTTATCTAGGTATCAGTCAGCTTTCAGGATAATTTCTACTATAAAAACCACATTTAGTAAAATCAGTAAGATGAAAATATTTTCCATCTCAATGCACCAGTTTTACCTCAAGTACCTGATCCAAAACAAACAGAAAAAAAATTTGATAAGTACCTGCACAAATATTTGATTCAACAATTTCAGATGATTATGACCCCAAAGATTTTTAATAAGCATCTTCATTTTAAATCAATTAGCTATATCATTTAGTTTAAAACATTGTAATATAGGAGTCTAAAAATTATTTTCTCAACTGGGAAAAGAAGCAGCTGGGATCGTTGCCATGGCAACCATCTCATTTCCAAATAAAGATTCTGTGACTTCTGTTGCTCTCTAGCAACCTCACCGCTCAGTAGCATTTCTTTGAAAAAAAAAAAGAAAAAAAGGGGGATTTTTCATGTAGAGCAATATACCATTGCAAGAAATGCTTGGAAGGATCAGAAAAAGAATGCTTCAAAACATAATGCAGGCATAATTAAACAAGTTAAATTCTCAGTCTGATGATGAGCCCAAGTTAAAAACCAAACCAAAAAACCAAACCAAAACACGTATATCCCATCACTCTAACTGTCACTCTGTGCAACTGACTGTGGAATCAATCTCTCCTGGAAATGATGTTTATCACAGATCTCACTGTCTCACACTAACTACATGACTTAGTTTCTTGATCCTGCTATTTAAGGAAAATGGATCGCAATATGAAAAATACACAGGGGGTGGATAGGGTGGGAGCAGAAAAATTTCTACCAAAACAACACATTTCACTGCCCACAGCTCTCCCCAGGAGAGCTTGAGATCACATCATAA